CTTACAATAAATACTACTTGTCTCACCCTAGATTAAGACTATAAATATTTTAAGGTAAGTAATGAGTGCACTATGTGTGTATTGTACTTTTTATTGTTTTTTGATGCCTGGTTCTATTGCTAACTTAATATATGGTAGTGTAAACTTGTTATCTAGTGTTTGTATGCATTTATAAGTGGAAAAAAAGGGTGTTCCACTTTACGGCGGTTTCCGCTTTATGGCGGTAGCCTGGAACCTAACCTGCCGTATAAGTGGGGCCCTGCTGTATACAGAAGGCCCCACTTATACGGCTGGTTAGGTTCCAGGCTACCGCCGTAAAGCGGAAACTGCGTAAAGTGGAACACCTTTTTTTCCACTTACAAATGCATACAAACACTAGATAACAAGTTTACACTACCATATATTAAGTTAGCAATAGAACCAGGCATCAAAAAACAATAAAAAGTACAATACACACATAGTGCACTCATTACTTACCTTAAAATATTTATATCTTAATCTAGGTGAGACAAGTAGTATTTATTGTAAGAAATCAAGTGTGGTATGTATGGTAGTCAGCCAGGCTACCAGTACCAGGCCACCCCACCCACACATACAATTCTATGATATTTAAGCATCCCAGAGCGATAAAATGTATATACAGTTCACTCATTACTTACCTTAAAATATAGGGTGAGATGAGTAGTATTAATTGTAAAAAATCAAGTGTGGTATGTATGGTAGTCAGCCGGGCTACCATACCAGGCCAACCCACCCACACATATATTCCATGATATTAAGCATCCCAGAGCGATAAAATGTATATACAGTTCACTCATTACTTACCTTAAATATTTGTAATCTTAATGTAGGGTCAGGAGTAAGTAAATGAGATAAAACGAATAAATGAGAGAGAGAAAGAATGAGTGCATGAGAGAGGACAGGCGCGGAGTTATGTAAACAAACCAGGCGAAGGTAAGTTTTGTAAACGAAGTGTACACGTCTGGTTTGTGTACAAGTTACATTGTGTACAGGTTGTCTCTACATTGATACGGTAGAATAAATAAAGAAGAACACTCCCATTCTCATGTAACATCATTTGAAAGAAATGATGCTCTGAGTGAAGGCAATGGAAATAAGTCACTCTGACTTTTTTTGGGTTATCCTAGGTTCTCTACACATATGTTGTTATGTATGATAATCTATGTAACTGTATTTGTGTATACCTGAATAAACTTACATACATACGAAAGGAATAATTTTCTATAGTTACCCCCAGTAACACATTTTCTCTTATGTTAGATTAGAGAAAATGTTATTCTTGGCATCACTTGTACAAGTTATCTGGCTACGACATCTCATATTTATGTTTATTTATTCTATTGTAGGGTGTATTATCATCTTTTTATGTTATGTATCGTGTTTATTATATAATTTTGAAAAAAATATCATGGATGGATTAATGAAAATGTGTATATTAACATAATATACAACATTTAATAAGACTCGGTGATTAATTATTATTATTATTAGCATTTCTAATATGGCTTCACTTGTGCAAGTCGTCTGCTACCACATCTCATATTTATGTTTATTTATTCTATTGTGGGTGGGATTTATCATCTTTTATGTTATGTATCGTGTTTATTATATAATTTTGAAAAATATCATAGATGGATTAATGAAAATGTGTATTTAACGTAATATACTACATTTAAATGAGACGATGATTATTATTATCATTACTAATATGGGTCTGGAGACATAAGACACTCTTACTGATTTAATGTGTACCTGCATGCCAGCACAGTATGTAAGTTTATTTAAGTACAGGATACATAAGTATAATTATCAGAGTATATATAAAATATAAAATAACTTTTAAAAACATTTGAAATTTGGAGTTTCCAGACAAAAATGGAGAGACTTAGTGCTTATTGAGCTCACAAGAATGTAAACAACAAGTGGGGCGCGCGGTGACGTATTAGAAAGTCAGGTGGGGGGAGCGGTATAGCAAGTTTTGGTCATAATTTGAAATGACCGTATTAGCGGAACGCCGTAAAGTAAACACGCCGTAAAGCGGGCATTCCTGTATATATATATATATATTAATATATATATATATTTTAAATATATTTTATATATATAATATATTTATTATATATATATATATATATATATATAATCTCCATGGGGAAGTGGAACAGAATTCTTCCTCCGTAAGCTATGCGTGTCGTAAGAGGCGACTAAGATGGCGGGAGCAAGGGGCTAGTAACCCCTTCTCCTGTATATTATGACTAAATTTAAAAGGAGAAATTTTCGTTTCTCCTTTTGGGCCACCCACCTCAGTGGGATATGGCTGGTGTGTTGAAAGTGAAGAAGATATATATATATGTATATATATATATATATATATATATATATATATTTCTTTCTTTCTTTCAACAACCGGCCGTATCCCACCGAGGTGGGGTGGCCCAAAAAAAAACGAAAGTTTCTCCTTTTTACATTTAGTAATATATACAGGAGAAGAGGTTACTAGCCCTTGCTCCCATATATATATTATTTATATATATAAATATATATATATATATATATATATATATATTATATATATATATATATATAATCTCAAAATATTCAGTGCTCTGGGTGAGAGAATGTAGATCTATGTTTCGACAGTTAATGGGTTAACTCATGCAAATTACATTATTTGCATAGCATTAAGCAATAAACGTTTATATTATTATTATAAAAGTGTTTACCCCTTAATGGTCTGAACATATATACATGTACTATACATTCTTTCACCCAGTGCCCTGAATATTTAAAAAAAAATTCTTTTTTATAGAAATAGAACATTTTTCTAAGTGTATAGGATAAAAAAAAATTAGGGTCATTACTTACAGAGATATGTGGCTGTGAAGTTGGCAGTGGATGCTCATCTGACGGCCACATTGAGTCCTGCCCTCACTTTATTTGTTTTCATTGTTACACACACATGTCTGTCTGTCTATCTGTGTCAAGCTCTCGATCTGTCCATCTAGCTCTCTGTCTATCTGTCTGTCTAGCTCTGTTTATTTCTGTCTCTGCTTATCTGTCTCTCTGCTTGTTTCTCTCTCTGTCTCTCTGCTTGTCTCTCTCTCTGTCTCTCTGCTTGTCTCTCTCTCTCTCAGAGAGAGCCACTGTGAACCAACAGATATTCTTACGCATTATATCTACAAGCACAGTATAGCACTTTGTGTGGATTTTTTTGGTTATCCTAGGTAATTTACACTATGTATAATTGTATTTATGTGTACCTGTGAGACAGAGATAGAAAGAGACAGACAGAGGCAGGGATAGAGATAGACATAGATACAGATAGACAGACGGAGATAGAGCCACCCAGTCAGTCAGCCTGCCGAACACGTATTACACGTTCCAGAATTGTTTCTTTTACTTAGGGCATTGGTTATAAGACATTCTGAAAGGGTGTTGCACAAATGTTGCACATGGGTTATTATCGAGGTTTTTGATATTTCCTCTACCACTTATGGCCACATCTACCTCAGAGTCACTAAAATCAGGGTCAACATCACTTTCCTCTGAAAATGGGAGTGTTAACCCTTTGGGGGTTTCGGACGTATTAATACGTCTTACGACCCAGGGTTTTTGACGTACTAGTATGCCTAAATTCTAGCGCCCTCAAATCTAGTGAGAGAAAGCTGGTAGGCCTACATATGTAAGAATGGGTCTTTGTGGTCAGTGTGCACAGTATAAAAAAAATCCTGCAGCACACAGTGCGTAATGAGAAAAAAAAACTTCGTGTTTTTGGATTAAAACAGCGACTTTGCACTGTATTTTCGTATGGTATTTATTGTTGTATTCTAGTTTTCCTGGTCTTGTTTTATAGAATGGAAGACATATTACAGAAATTGAGATGATTTTGACTGGTTTTACAATGAAAAGTACCTTGAAATTGAGCTCAAAGTAGCAGAAATGTTTGATTTTTACCAAAGTTCAAAAGTAAACAAATCATGCCAAGCGTCCAATACACAACAACTGGTGAGTCTAATATTCTTTCACAAGTGTGCTGATATTATTTATACCATTTCTACACTAATGCAGTAGTCTGCATAACAGTAAATCTTATTTTTTTTGTAAGAATAAAAATTCAAAGTGGAAAGCCAAAGTAATATAAGAGGGGCCTGGGGACATGACTAACAAACAGAGAACTTGTTATTTTAGTGCCAGGAATGTCTTTCTTGTTTATTCTGGGACCCATTCGGAAATTGGCATCTTTTGAAATTTGTGCGAAATTGGCAAAATTGCTAAATTCTGACCACTTTATTGGATAGTTGAAATCGATAAATGGGTGGTTTCTTGTACTCACTCGATAGAAAAAATGGAGTTTTAGCGAAATAGTTATGATTTTTATCGACTAGTACACTGGAATTGGCCGAAAATAGGGCTCAAAGTGGGCAAAATCGCCGATGCGTAAACATCTTCGAGACCACTAACTTCGCGAGAGCATAATTCCGTAAGTTTTCCATCAAATTTCATACTTTTGATGTCATTAGGATTGGGAAAAGATTCTCTATATTTTCATAAGAAAAAATTTTGTTTATTTTTTTTTTTTTTTTTGAAATTTGGCCGATCCTGAGAACAAGTCTCTAAGAGGACCTGTCGACCCCCAAAGGGTTAATACTACATGAAATCAGCGAATCCCAGGTGTTTGCTGCAATGTTTGCTCTAGCTGGTGCTCATTTGAACTGGTACTCCCACAAGGTACTAAGTGGTCCCAGATTTAATACTGCACACACTGAGTGTTAAGACCCATTCTATGCTGACCAGTCATCTCAGGTCAGTCATGCCAAATTTGGAGGCAGGAAAAATAAAACGTTGATCTATGTTTTGGGCACTAGTGGTAAGAACGTATTTATATGTTTGGACTGTTTAGGGATTAATGAGCATTTTGTGCTCCTGCAATGTGTTGTTACGATTTAAACCAATTATCCACTGTAGTGCAACTATTGCAGAGCATGTGATAAGCTGCGATGTGTTGCATGTGACTCCTCGGTTATAATGATTGATGGATTCTCCTGGGGCAATATGACTGATTATCTATTCCTGCGTAATAATTACCCTGAAGTCAGTCGTTTACGAGCCCGTCTGGATTCTCAGCGTGGAAGTCGAGCTTATGCTTGTCAGTGCCAGCATAACTCTGTGAGAGAAACTAAGAACATCAAGAGTGAATATCATTTAAAATGGGTCTGTGGAGGACATTAAACATAATAAGGTTTGTTTTGACAAAGTAGACACATGTGCAACACTTGGGTATCTTTATTTAAGAAATGTTTTGCCACATAGTGGCTTCATCAGTCCTAAACAAAGAGGAACTGTGAAGATCAGATATAATCAACTCCAGGCTGAAGGACTGCTTACCTCAAACTCCTGATCTTCACCATTCTTCTTTGTACAGGACTGATGAAGCCACTGTGTGGCAAAACATTTCCTCAATAAAGATACCTAAGTGTTGCACATATGTCAAATTTATCAACTTGTCAGTTCTCTGAACCATTTATCTACAAGGTTAGTTTTGCTTAATAATAATTTACTCACATTGTACATAAAGTATTCTTGAAGAGATAATTCAGTTGTTTGCTGTGACAAAAAAATATATCTACTGAGGTTATGTCATTTTATCAACAATAATAATGCTTGTGTACTTACAGAATGTTAATCAAATATCAGAGGAATATTAGGGATTTATCATATTTTAATAAAAATCATAAATGTAAGCAGAAATAAAGTAATAACTAGTAATCAAGATGCAGTTATGTTTATGTAAGGCATAATAAAACTATACCATGTATCCCACCTGTGTGCACCTGTTTTCATGATCCCCCTGTTTTTTTTACCACCTGTGTGCACTCCTGTACCATGTATCCCACCTGTGTGCACCCCTGTACTATGTATCCCACCTGTGTGCACTCCTGTACCATGTATCCCACATGTATGCATTACTGTACCATGTATCCCACCTGTGTGCAATCCTGTACCATGTATCCCATATGTATGCATTACTGTACCAAGCATCCCACCTGTATGAACTCATTTAGCTCAGTGATATATCATTCAGCTCACAACTGAAAGGGCCTAGTTTGATCTGTGGGCAAGGCGAAATATAAAGGCACGTCTCCTTATACTGGCTGTTTGTTTAGCCATGGGCAAGCTGGTACCTGGGTGTTAGTCAAGTGTTGCAGTTTGCATCCTAGGGGAGAGAGAGAGAGAGAGAGAGAGGGGAGGGGGGATAGAAGCATTTCAGTGGATATAAACACGCACTGCTTGACTTCCTGGGGCTGTCCTTGGTTATTAACCCTCTGGGGTTAATAATCCTAAGTCTTTTTTAATGCACTGCTATACTATGTAACCCACCTGTATGTACTACTAAACCAAGTAACTCACTTGTATGTACTATTGAACCAAGTAGCTCATCAGTGTGTACTACTAAACCAAGTAACCCACCTGTATGTGCTACTAAACAAGTAACCCACCTGTATGTGCTGCTAAACCAAGTAACCCACCTGTATGTGCTACTAAACCAAGTAACCCACCTGTATGTGCTACTAAACCAAGTAACCCACCTGTATGTGCTACTAAACCAAGTAACCCACCTGTATGTGCTACTAAACCAAGTAACCCACCTGTATGTGCTACTAAACCAAGTAACTTACCTGTATGTGCTACTAAACCAAGTAACCTACCTGTATGTGCTACTAAACCAAGTAACCCACCTGTATGTGCTACTAAACCAAGTAACCTACCTGTATGTGCTACTAAACCAAGTAACCTACTTGTATGTGCTACTAAACAAGTAACCCACCTGTATGTACTACTAAACCAAGTAACCCACCTGTATGTACTACTAAACCAAGTAACCCACCTGTATGTCCTATTAAACCAAGTAACCTACCTGTATGTACTACTAAACCAAGTAACCCACCTGTATATACTACTAAACCAAGTAACCCACCTGTATGTACTACTAAACCAAGTAACCCACCTGTATGTACCACTAAACCAAGTAACCCACCTGTATGTACTACTAAACCAAGTAACCCACCTGTATGTACTACTAAACCAAGTAACCCACTGTATGTACTGCACTACAGTTATAAAACTGCAACATCAACACCCCTCCTTCAGAGTGCAGACACTGTACTTCCCATCTCCAGGAATCTAGTCCAGTCTGCCGGTTTCCCTGAATCCCTTCATAAATGTTACCTTGCTTACACTCCAACAGCACGTCAAATCCTAAAAACCATTAGTCTCCATTTGCTCCTATCTAACATGCTCACTCATGCCTCCTGGAAGCCCAAGCCCCTCGCACACAAAACCTCCTTTACCCCCCCCCTCCAACCTTTCCTAGGCCGACCCCTACTCTCGCTTTCCCACCACTACAGATTTATACACTCTCGAAGTCATTCAATTTTGTTCCACCGTCTCTACATGTCCAAACAATCTCAACAACCCCTCCTCAGCCCTCTGGATAATAGTTTTGGTAATCCTAAACCTCCTCCTAATCTCCAAACTATGGATTCTCTGCATTATATTCACACCACACATTGCCCTCAGACATGACATCTCCACTGCCTCCAGCCTTCTCCTTGTTGCAACATTCACCACCCATGCCTCACACCCGTACAAGTGTTGGTATAACTAGACTCTCATACATTCCCCTTTTTGCTTTCATGGATAAAATTCTTTGTCTCTACAGACTCCTCATTGCACCACTCACCCTTTTCCCCTCATCAATTCTATGATTCACCTCATCTTTCATAGACCCATCTGCTGACACGTCCACTCCAGATATCTGAATACATTCACCCCCTCCATACTCTCTCCCTCCAATTTGATATCCAATTATCCATTACCTAATTTTTTGGTTGTCCTCATCACCTTACTCTTTCCTATATACACTTTTAATTCCCTTCTTTTATATACCCTACCAAACTCATCAAGGGTTAAGGTACAAGTTTTAACCCTTAAACTGTCCAAACGTAGATCTACGTTTTTTCAACATTTGAAAGTATGTAAAAAACATAGATCTTTTTTTTTTTTAAATTTGAAAACGTGTAAATAAAACTTTGATTTTCCTTTTTTTTTTTTTTGTTGTTGTTGTTATATTTGAAAATATGTAAAAAAACGTAGATCTACTTTTGGAGCACTACGCATGTGAATGTAAATTTGTTTGGACAGTTTAAGGGTTAAAGGTACAAGTTATGCTGTATCATATTTAGTGATTGCCAACTGTAATAAAAGATATGGGATTATATGTCTTGAACATCAGCCTATTTCTGAAAGCTGCTGTAACTGTTTGACTAGATTGGGAAAATACAGTAATATAAAATATTTGATCGCACCTTCAGTATGCAATATCCTGCATGTTGTGCAAGTATTTCATTGATTCTTGTAATTCATTCTGTATTTTTTTTTCTATTTCCTCTATGTTGCTTCATATTTTTTGTTAATTTGTACTTTTGGAGTTGTAAGGCACATCCCAGGAAGGATCAGGAAGTGTGAAGAATGTTTTCAGTAGGAGAGGGGGTGTGTGGGTGTATTCACCTATATGCAGTTGCTGGGTAGAGTCACAGCTCCTGGCCTTGATTTGTGTGTGTGTGTGTGTGTGTGTGTGCGCTTGCTTTTTGTCAGTGCTTTTGTTTGTGCTTTTTGTTTGTGTATTTTTCATTTGTGCATTTTTGTGTATTTTTTTTATTGTTTTGTTTTGTGTATTTTTTGTGTGTGTTTTTGTATATATTTTTTTCTTAGATTGGATTGAGATTTAATGTAACGTAAGATCTATGAAAGGATTCAAAGACATTGGTTAGCCAGATATATACAATAGGGCCCCACTTATACGGCAGGTTAGGTTCCAGGCTACTGCCAGAAAGCAGACATCGTTGGAAAGCAGAACGCCATTTTTTCCACTTATAAATGCATATAAATGCCAGACAACAAGTTTAGACTAACTTATATTAAGTTAGAACTAGGCATTAAAAAAAACAATAAAAAAGTAAAATACATACACAGTACATTCATTACTTAGTACCTTAAAATATTTGTAGTTTTAATGTAGGGCAAGAGGTGAAAAGTATTTATTTGTAGGACATCAGGTGTAGGTAGCCCTGGCTCCCCATCCCAAACTTAATATAGTGGACCCCCGGTTAACGATATTTTTTCATTCCAGAAGTATGTTCAGGTGCCAGTGCTGACCGAATTTGCTCCCATAAGGAATATTGTGAAGTAGATTAGTCCATTTCAGACCCCCAAACATACACGTACAAATGCACTTACATAAATACACTTACATAATTGGTTGCATTGGGAGGTGATCATTAAGCGGGGGTCCACTGTATATGATATTTAAAGCAGCCCAGAGAGAGAAAATACACAAACAGTACACTCATTATTTACCTTGAAATGTGTGTAGTTTTAGTGTAGGATGAGAGTTAACCCTTTCAGGGTCCATGCCGTAGATCTACGGCTTTACGTTGAGGGTCCAAACCGTAGATCTACGCCATGAGCTCAACTCACTCTGATAAGCTGTGAGAAGTAAATTTGGGCCTAGATATGAGAGAATACATCTATGTGGTATGTGTGCACCACATAAAACAAATCCTGCAACACAGTGCAAAATGAGAGGAAAAAAAAACTTAGACCATAATTTTCGATTAAAACAGTGACTTTGCAGTGTTTTTTGTATGTTTTTTATGGTTGTATTTGCGATTTCTTGGTCTCATTTGATAGAATGGAAGATATATTACAGAAATAGAGATGATTTTGATTGGTTTTAGTATTGGAAATGGCTTGAAATTGAGCTCAAAGTAGTGAAAATGTTAAATTTTTGTCGATGTTCAAGAGTAAACAAATGACCTCACACGTCTAATACACGCCAGCTGGTGGGTCTAATATATGTTCACAAATGTGGTGATATTATTTATACAGTTATTACAATATTGCATAACAGTAAATCTTCTATTTTTTGGTTTGAATAAAAATTCATTATGTGAATAAAAAATCAAAATGGAATTCATTTGTAAAGCCTGAAAACATAACTAATGAACAGAGAAAATGTTAGTTTAGTGCCAGGAATGCCTGCATTGTTTATTCTGGACCCTATTTTCAAATTGGAATATTTTGAACTTTGCATTAAATTGGCCAAATTACCAATTTCTGATCACTTTATTTTGCAGTTGAAACCGTTGACTTGGTGATTTCTTGTGCTCAGTCGATAGA